CTAGCCACTCCTTGGAACCCCTACATGGGGTCACTATAAGTTGGGATTGACCAGATGGAACTTCACAACAACATGTTTAGAGAAGGAGTCCTGATGTGGTGCTGTAGGATAAGAACTGGACTGCAGGGTTGGTTTAAAATGCAAGGTCACTGGTTCAAAGCCACCATTCACTCCTCAGAAACCCTATACAGGGTCGCTATGAGTCAGAATGAACTCAACAGTACTAAACAACAACAATGTCTAGACCAAGGAGCCATGGTGGCACTGTACAATAAGCACTGGACGAATCAGAAGGTCAGCAGTTCAATTCAAACCTATCAATTCAAAATTCATCTTGCTCTTCGGGAGAAAGATGAGGTTTTCTGCTCCTGTAAAGATTTACAGCCTCAGAAACCCTATGCAGGGTTGCTCTGTGTTGGAAACGAATACACGGCAGTGGGTTTGGTTTGGTTTGGATGTCTAGACAAATGAGCCCTGGTGGTGCAGTGGTTAAAGAACTCAGCTGCTACCAGACCGCACCAACTCTTCTGCAGGACAAATATGGCAGTCATCTTACCTTAAGGATTTACAGCCTTGGAAACCCTATGGGGAAGTTCTAATCTGACCTTACAGCGTTACTAAGAGTTGGAATCAACTGGACGATAATGGGTTTGAACTGGGTTTTATGTCTAGACATGTGTCAAAAGGTAGTCACATAATTAGCAAACTATAGAGTAACTTACGAAACCAAGTACCTCAATTTACAGAGAAGTCTAGTGACCTACTTAATATCCCACAGCTAATGAGTGCCAGAACCAGCTTAGAATTCAGATGGTTCAACATCTACCCAGTTCTTTTCCACTTCAAAACCATACTCCTACTAAACGTATTTTCAAAGAAGAATAAGATCCTTGATTTTAACCAGTAAAAAAAGTTCGAATCGACTTGATGGAACATGTCTACACAAGGAGTCCTGGTGCGATGCTGTGGGTTAATGCACTGGACAGCAAAGTTGGTTTGAACTGCAAGGTCAGTGGTTCAAGCTCACCAACTGCTACTCGGAAACCCTATGCACGGTTGCTATGAGTCAGAACCGACTCAAAGGCACTTAACAACAACATCAACAATATGCAAAATGTCTACTTATATGATATTTGCATAAAGGGCTTCTACTGAAATAATGAAGAGTACAACAAGGTTTGGAATGAAAATATGTTGACTTTCACAATAATGTTGTGAGGATTTTTATGTTTTCCTTACCAA